CTATGTAGATCGTTTGTAGTCGACAGTTAACATGGGTTAAGATTAATGGTGTACGGTGATTACCGAAAACGGCATCTGTATTATTATGTAGATATTGTAGATCGACCTGGAGTCCTCTTTACGTGTTGACACGACGTGGTGATTACGTGCTATTTAATATTTCAGAACGATTGATTCGTCGGGAGCGAGAAACTGTCTTTCAATCAATTACTTTTGTGATATCGGCTAAGTTTACAGTTGAATATGAATTAATATCCTCTGTATATATTATTCAAGTCATCAAAATATTGGTGTAAGTATAACGAATGTATCTGTTTCGTTTATCATCCTGCGATATAAGCTGCACAGTTGTTGATCTATTTAAAAGCTATTGCGCATTTACGTGAACGACGAACGAATCAAAATTTTTATTTATTTCTCGAAGCCGTTCAAAGTTATCTATTCAAAATCTTATCTACATATAAGTATCTAGTATAAATTGTTTATGTTAACAAATGTTTTGGTCATATTATTTAAAAATTTTATTTATCGTATAAACAATATTGAAGTATATAAAAAATTACTATTATGTTATAAAATAATTTTTTTTATAGATTTAATTTTACTATAGAATATAGAGACAGGTACCTACAAATTACATCGTTAACAAGCATAGGAATTATGTGAAGAATTTTGTCTGTGGATTTTCTAGCAATTAAAAAAAGAGTATTATACTATATATCATTATGATTAGGTTAAAAAAATATCGAGTTGTAGTTAACATGAAAAAAATCGTACAGTTAAATTTTTTTTTAACGAAATACTAACGGCACTAGGTTGATGGTTTTTTTTCACGATTAATTCTTATTAGTTCATTTATTACCAGAGAAAACTTTTCCACGTTTAGTGTATTAATTTTTTTTTATCATAAATTCTGTTTGAGCGTTCAGATTTTGTGGTTTTTGTTATTCTCATTATATAGTGCATAAGTATTATTTGTTGAAAAATTAATTATAACAACCTACGATTATTGTCTTCATTAACAGAAAACTGAATTAATTAAATTTATTGCAGAGTCGCGGTCCAAATGGACAAAAATTAAAAATTAATTTAATTAAGTAAAATAATAGTGGCGATAAGCGCGCCTATATCAATTCAGGAACAACATTTTTAGTATTATAATTGGTACATTGTCCATTGTTTTTACAGAATATTCTTTACAATACCTATCACATTAAACATATTATTATGGTGTCTAGACACGTGTAACCTGTGCGAGAGAGATATATAAAATTATGCGCGAATGAGATTTTTTAATTACGGGAAGTTATGCGCACAGTGCAATATATACTTAAGCAAAAAATTTTTTTTACTAAATTTCGTTCACATATACATAATTGATTTGAATTAAGGTCATATATTCTGAAAAGGTTTACGGGAAACCGTTAATTTAACCGAATGTATATAATACGTATTTCTTATAGAAATATATAACAACGATTAAATAAGAGCGGTTTTACGTGTTTTGGGGTTTTGTTTAAACAACTTATTGCGATTCCCTATGTATTAATTATTAAGCAAGTTAAAGCGAAAGATTGTACTCGATCGTTTCAAGAATATATAAATTTATCAATTTGTTTATTTTGTTTTCGCCGACGAACACTGAACATACGGTAAAGATTGTATATGGACTTAAAGAGAAATTATATTTTAAACGTAAACGCCATCGAATGACTTTGTGTATATACATACATAATTACTCAATTAATCAGTAATAAGTTTATCCGTAGTAATTGGGTAGGTGCACGGAATTAAATTGTTTATGAACTCGTAGAAGGGCTAAATTAATATTTTAATAGAAATTCGAGTTGGTACGGATAATAATTTTTGTTACGCTAGTCGTGACGAGGTGGAGGTCATACTATTATACAAGCAATCTCTTTTTATTTAAACGATTGAAAGACAGCTATCACATCAAATTCTTAAAGTAAAAATATTGTGATTAATTGTGCTCAAACATACAATCTACGTCTAAGCTATAATTTAAATATTAATTATATTTGTGTAGTAAAAAATATGCATCAGTGTGTGTGCGTAGAATTAATATATTTAAGAAATGTTTAACGTAGGTATAAATATAAAATTTTTCTGAACGGACGTACATTTAAGGGTGTTTTTTAAGAGATCTATAGATTTTTTGATCTCAACAGTTTTTTTTTTTCGTTAATAAGTATCGATGATTATTTAGAAATGATGTATCTTTGATGGATTGTTTGTTTTAAGTGTTCATTCCGACAAGTCACATTCCAGAATAGACTTTAAAACTGTCATAAATAAACCACTAATAAATATTCATCCGCCCGAGTGTTTTGTGTAAATGACGTTTTAAGCATGCAACAGCCAATAATTACATATTAATTTAACAATATTAATCAACTACAGTAAGTAAGCGTATAATTAGCGTAAGCCATACATGGATTCCAATAATTAGACATGATTTAGACTTGGTTATAAGAATCGGGATAATAATACATAGTCGTATGCACAAGTGCATATAACTAGGGAAGCCTTAATTAATCAGTCTGGCTGATATTAAACGCAATTGTATCATTACATTTGTTAATGAATTTGAATTCTGTATTAGTATAATAACTATTGTTAATGCATAAAATATTACATAAATTTATTAGTATTTTTGTTATCGTAATTTTATTTCTACAACGATGGTTAGAACGTTTTGAGTTAGTAATTTAATAAGTTAAGTATTTTATGATATTACATTGTATAAAAAAATAAAAATGAATCCGGTATTTACCAAAAGTCTATTTGATTTGAAATATGGCAAGTTAATTTGCAATGGATGTCCACGGCAGAATATACATTACAATACTTGCTCACAATCTACATTATCTGTGCAGGCATTATTCACACACTATAATTAAAAAAAAAAGAACACACGCAAACTAAATAATAATTACAAAAAACAAAAAATATCAACAACAAACCAAATAATGTTTGTGTAGAACTAGTAAAAAATTGCAATTTAAGTGTATTAGAAAGGCGAGAAAAAACAGAAAGTAATATTATATAGGTGGTGGTGTACAATACATAATAATAATAATAATAATAATAATAATATTTATAATATATTATTATCGCGTAAGACCGACTTATACATTTGTTTTTGTTGTATTCAAAAAAAGCACTACAGTTAAACAAGATATTAGAAAAAAAAAACAATATATTTACAAAAAAACATTTCCAATGTGAAATTAACTTCTCTTTGTACGATAATTAAAACGATATTAATAATATGTCGTACACGGTGTGAGGGCAATTAAGAAAAAAAGATTAAAAAGAATAAAGAGGTTTGTGGATTTTCACGAGTAATTCCAATTAATGTGTGTCTGTGACATTTATGCGAGCGAGTCCAAGGTAAAAACAATAAATAGGTAGGTATAAAAATTGTGATAGAAAAAAAAATAATCATAATCATTATACGACGATCGCGCATTTTAGTGTACATAATAAAAATGTCGTACAAAAAAAATCCATGCAAACAAGTCATTGAGTAAGTATTATATTATTTTCAAAGTAGAATGAGAATAAAAATACTTTTTGCTGGTGCCAAGATATTATATAAATATAACATAAAAATAGAGGATGGGTTAAAATAATATGTATATATGTCAACATATTATAATACATTAGAAAATATATAGAAAAATAAAACCACAATAATTAATAACGAAATATTGTCATATTGAACCGTTTACCTGAACCACGGTCATATATTCCAATATAAAAATCTAACGAGTGAAGCATGCACCGTCAGTAAATACCAGCTAAAAACAAAATAAAACCAAAACATTTCATGGAAATAATGTTGATGAATGAATAAAACATGGGATAGTAATAATAATAATAATAATAATAAATTAGGTAACAAAACAATAAAATATGATAAAAACGTGAAATCAATAAGTATAATTAATAATAAAACTCGGATGAATATGAAAATGAGTCAAGCAGATGAAAGTAAAAAAGTATTACATTAATTCATAAGCATAAAAATACAACGATTCGAAAATGTTTGGACTTTTATAAAACAATGAAATAACAAAAAATTTACTCATGGCTAGTAATCGCATCCTTGAAGTTTGCACTCCAACGCCAACCAAACTGGTAGCCGATTTAAAACACAAAAAATAAAAAAACAAAATTAATATCTATAAAGCTTTTTTTTTTTGGGAGTTTTTTAATAATAATTTAAAAATTCTATTAATAAAACATGTTCCGCGATATATAAATATAATATTCATTTACGATAATGCATATTACGTAAGTATATATATATATATATTATATAATATAGTATGATAATAATTACGTTACGAAAATATAAAATGCAAAATAAACGTTAAAACACATTGGAAATGCATTATAATAACAATATATAGTATGTTTAGTTATACACACGTTAGTAAAATAAATATCAACTAATTTTTCGTAAAAAGCAAGATTAACTAAAACAATAAATTATTGAATAATAATAATAATAATAATAATAATAATAAAAAAAAAACAAAGCTATATGTTTCTGTGAAACCCCGTAAGTCCGGCAAAACTTGCGGGTTGAAAATACGAATATGAAAACTATAAAATATTTTATGATAAAAGGACCCTTCTCACAGAACGATAATAATGTCGTTATATTTTTTCCAGCCTAACAATAGAGAAAAATCGAAAATAAATTCAACACTTGTCGATATATAGAAACAGTGTCACCGATGTAATACCTTGGCGGACGATGTAGGCGTGATCGGCGGAGTGTCTTCGTTGGTGGGCGACAGTCTGGCGTCGGGCAGACGTTGTTCCTGAACGGAAGCGAGCCTGTAAAACATCAGTACCACATCGATTAGAAATATAAAACACATATTATACGTAAAAAATTAACTTTCGAAAAAATTGTTGTTAACTTGAATTTTTCAAATAATTATTTTTTCTAAAGAATTACGTTAACCAATTTATAATGTTCAGTAGGTAATGTAGTGACAATTAAGAATATAAAAAAAATTGCAAAATTTCCCACTCGTCGATGAAAAGAAAAAAGTTTAAAAAAACAAATAGAATGAAATACCTATTACCTATGTTTATAAACCGTTTATCGATGTGATGTTTGAATAAAAGTCAGCGTATATATCGAAAAAATGTTAACTCGGGTTAAAATGCATTCGATTTTTATCGGAAAACAATTAGATTTTCCCCGAAGCTGTTAACAATATTAACGATGTATAGGTAGACAACATTTTTCAATTACATGCTATTTCAGATATAATATAATAAAATAGGCGTTTAGTAAACTTGTTGTAATACGTAAAATAATAATTATAATACGAGTATAAAATATAACGTATTATTAATGATTGATGAAACACATTTTTAAAATAAATTAAAAGAAGTATCATTATACGCATTACATAGAAATAATATTAATGCGTTTCCATTACTATAATGATTTACCTCTTGAGTGTTACAAGCGTTCCGGTTAATTTTTTACACCGTTTGAGTGCGCTTTCTAGGCGATCGGGCTCTTCTTTAAGAAACCTATATAAAAAATAGTAGAAGACGAAAACTTGCATTATTACACCAAGTAAACATTATTAATATTTTATCAGTCAATTACTTTTCTTCGGTAACCGCTCTGTCCATTTCCTTCGTCAATACTGTACGAATTGATTCTTGTAAACTCGGGAACCTCAATTTCAATTCAGCGACCGTTTTACTAAGAGCATAAATAAGAAAATTGAAATGAATAATAAATTGTTTATTTAATCAATGGTAATATACTAATATATATTATATCACGACATTGCGTATAGACGTATAGTTCAAATATAATATAGTGTTGATGTTTAGAGGAAATTGTATCGAAAAGTAATTGCCCGTTGGGAAGGAAGACATAGGCGTAAATTGGGGGGAGGGAGCTTAATGGGACTTGGCTACCTCTACATTTTTTTTTAAAGTTTTTCAACAATTTCAGGTTTTTTATCTAAGAGAATTATAAAATATACTACGTAGTTCTTAAACAGGATATCCGATAGTTATGTATTATGTGAACGTTTAAGGTTATTCATTCACCATGGATGAGTTATGTATTGTAAAATTATAATAAAATTAAAATGATTGAGCTACGTTAAAGTAATAACTTTTTCAATTTACATTTTGAACAAAGTGCTTACTTCATTGATCTTTATAAAGTAAATATAGCAATAATATTTTATGAGAACCATGTAGGTACTTTATATATTGCTTAATATTTAATTTTATATTTCATATTTCTTTAGGATTTGTTAAGTATTTCTGTTAATTCATTGAAAGTTGAAATGGCCGTTGCTAAAAATTATATAATATGGAACTTCAAAAGAATTAACAGCCAAATAACTTAAAACTTATTTTTAGGGCTGTGAATTTAATGCATTAAAATGCAAAATATGCAATATAAATTGCCAAAAATTATAGTAAAAATATACTTAAAATGGTTTTTGATTTACTTTTTATATTTATATTGATATTACCTATAGGATATTATAAATTTAGTACATTACATTTTACATAAATAAAAATGTGTTTATTTAATAAAAAAAAAATATTTAAAATATTGATTTAATTTGAATTTTATACAATGTTATTCACTTGAAAATTTTTTTTCATGTATTTATTTTGTTAATAATTAGGTTTTTAAAGATGTAAATTGACAAAATTTAATTGAGAATACCGGAAAATTAACTAAAAAGGAAAATATGACCTAAAAAATTAAAAGTCAAAAAATGCAAAATAAAAGTTTCATAAATTTGATTCGTTGTTACATAATTTAAATTATGTACTTAACCTAACCTAACTTAAGCTACATTTCACAGTCACCAAAAAAAAAAAAAAAAATCACTTTCCTACAAAATTCACAGCCCTACTTATTTTACTTGTAAATGTTTTCCCAAACTTGTTTCATTTGTATAAAATAGCTTTAGCATTACCAATTAGTTCCTCCACGTGTGAGAGAAACTTCTCTGCTATAAGCCGGATAAAAATGTAGTTACAAATGTCTACCTATGTCACAAGATAGATTAAATCAGGTGTCTATCTTGTATATAGAAAAAAGCGATACCAAAAATATTAACAAGGAGATTATTCTTAAGAATTTTGCCGATGAATATATAAATAAATAACGTTAAATTAATATAAAAAAAAAAAATGTTATTAATCAATATACTAAAATATGGTTTTGTTAAATAAATAATTTTGAAGTATTTATATACATCTTCTAAAATAAATGTTACAATAAAATTGTAAAATTTATATGAAGGGGTGCGGGGAGCGAAGCTCTCTGCAGACTTGTTATATATGTTTATAATTTTAGCCTCCTTTTCTATAACAACCTAAATTTACACTTATGAAGGAAGGGGTGGAAAACAGTAGAGATAATTAGTGTTTGTATTAGATTTCTATAATATGTTGCGAACGGAATTCGCTCCGGGGTAGATCGTGGTAGTGACGGAACGGCGGAAATAGGAGAACGTTACGTCGTAATGATTTTAGCTTGTATACGAAATACTACTCTTGTCAGTCGTGATATATATATTTTGGATAATGTTGTACCTGGATTTGCTGAGCACAAGTGCCATGTTTTCTACGTCTGACATGTTTACTCTGGACTTCTTGTTAATGACGTTTCCTCGCAGTTCTTCCACAGTGCTCTCGAGTTCACTGTGCAACACACGCGGTAAAAAACAATTAAGTCCATTATGGAAAAATTCGGTAACCGAGAACGATACATTCTGAACACGTTCGATCGATCGCCGAATCGACTTATTATACACACATACGCACGAATGTAATATACAATATTATGGATCCTATTTATTATTCACAATGAGAACTGTAATAATATTATAACCATGTATATTGTATAATATGGTATCAAATATACAGTAAACGAGGTAAAATTACTAAGCCGTTTAAAATTAAATTGGAGCATCGTAATAATGAAATTAAAATAGTATATTACAGGGCGATACACCAATCACGCATATCTCCATTTTTTATCATTTAATAATAAAATTTATTCATATTCTGATTTATTTAAAGACAATATTTTTGAATTCTTGACATTTTTTTGTACTAATTAAGGAGGGTCCTGTAGCGGTATACACTTCTGTTTTTCAAATAAGAACTCTTATATTTTACCGTCAGTTGTTTAGTGGATAATTTTTTTGTTAAATTTTATATGTACCTAATATAAAGTTTTAACGAGTATTATTTTATAGTTATTAAAATTTTTATAATAAGGACAATAGTCCTTAAAAGCGGTTTCACAAAAAATATAAAAATTAATAGATTAATATATTACTAAGGTTTAAAAATGACTATAGTGTTCTTTCTTTCTAATTTATTAGAATAAAAAAATTTTAATTTTAATATTATCATGGGCCTATTATTCTAAGAACACAAAGTTAATTAACTCAAAAACTATTTGCTAAAACTTTGATTTTGACACATCAACATTTTCACAAAAACTAACTGTTAAATAATTTACTGTATAAAAGCGGGGTTGTAATTTAAAAAAAAAAAAAAATGAAGTTTGTATCCATATCAAACACTCTTTGTATAGTGAAAAAAATCTTAAGAATTTGATAGTATGGTCTTTAACACCTATATATTTAAAAATGCTAAAATTCAGATATTTTATAATTACTTAATCGAAGAAAAAATTGTAGATGAGCATGACGAATAATTTTGTACATAGGAATCGTAGAGACATTGTATTTATTACAAAGCTTTATGCAACATATAAACTGCTGAATACTGATCGTTGTTATCGTAAATGAGTGGCCCTTAAGTCTTACCATGCGTAGTAAGTATACATAATAATATTCGGGATTTCCGGGGCGGCAAGAAAACAATGATATTTAGAAACTTCCGTGTGAATGGAGTATTACAGTAGTCATTATTATACTTATTGTTTTTGTGCATGTGCAAAATTATAAAAAATATGCTTGCAAACTGTTAACGGGAGATTCTTGTACGATACAATATCGTCGCGTTTATACATTATAATGAATCGTTGTGGCGAATAAAAAATTGCGTTATCGTAGGAGTCATTAACTGTTTGATTTATGTTTTCGTTTTCCGACCGGGGTCATCGCATAATGTAACAATATACGGAGTGATCAATTTATCGTAAGACACTTATTATTTCAAAAAATACTAACGTTTTTATAAAAATGTATGATATTATTATTTTTGCCATTATAGTCTTTTGAGTTTTTACTCTTTTGAATAATAATATACATTCTTAATTTCATATTCTGAAGCATAGTAATATTTGGAACAGAAAAATATACAAATATTAGGTAGGGTACCCTTCTACAGGGCCCTGTACGACTCCAATTAGCTAATCTGAACTTTAAATACTTATTTATCATAAAATATTTGTTCAAAATTTTATTTTTATTCATCAAAAACGCCAAAAAAATTCTACTTTGGAACAAGAAATTAAAAATACATTAAATTTTTTAAACAATTATAACGTTAAAAAAATATTTTTTAGAAAAGTGTCGTATTAACGACTTAAAAAAAGAGTTTCAGGTTTTAAGATAATGGATGTCTTACGTTTAATGGATTATCCGGTATATTTTACGAATAGAATAATAATGACATTATTTAATGTATGGATTTTGCTAGGCGTTGCGCAACGAAAATACGATATTTATAAAACCATCATAATCATTATTGTCACACTTACGTCAAATCCGTTTCCAGCCTGATAATCTCCTGCCTGTATATGTCCTCTTCCCGGTCCACGTGTGCCCTTTCCTTCGATCCGGATTCGCTCCACGCCTGGTCGGCGCCGGAAGCGATCAACGTTCTACATAATATACAACACAATGTTATTCAGCACGATCTTTATTATGTACATATTACGAGTATAATATTATATAGGTATACATTTTGCACACGCGTGGGCCGACAAAAATCTTTACGAATTCGCTAATCGTAATATTAAGTACATAAACGATTAAACCCTCGAGTATTTCGTGACCGCAAATATTTTTTCTTCGAAAAATATTATTTTCACAAATAGATATATTTTAATATGATAAATGAAAAAAAAAATAAAAATGTTTGAATTCAATACACTTTAATAATATAATGCAGCAAGTGTACACTACGGGCGTCAGCAACGTGATCGTAAGAGATATAATAAGCACACGACCGCGACTGTTCGAAATCGGGTTGTATCGTTTTCAAAAGATAACATTTAACTACGTAGCTCGGGGATATTTTTGTTCGAATGATTATGTATCAGTGCATATAATAACACACTATATATACCGAGTGATCCTTTAAATGTAAAAATATTCGTTATTTCTAAAACTAACGTTTTCTTTTACATAATTTTAAGTCGTTAAAAATAATTTCCTAAATCAATTGTATTTTTTACCATAGAAATATTTTTACACATATTAAATTCGAATTTTGGATAAGTAATTTATGAGTTACATATATATATATTAAGTTATGGCTAATTAACTACTTGTTCGAAATTTGACTTTTATGGATCAGAATATGCAATTAAAAATTTATGTTGTTATTCAAAAGAGTACAACACTTAAAAAAATAGTTAAAAATATATTTTTTTCAATATTGTTGTTTTATAACGACTTAAATTATGTAAAATAAATATTATCAAAAACGTTATTGTTTTCTGAAAAAATTATGTTAGATGGATCACTTTATATACGTATATATCGTATTAAGAATATTTTGATTTATGCAGACCATAATTTTGGATATTCACGTACAATATGAAATAACGAGTGAAATTTACCTTATTTTTATGAACGTATCTTTGATGGTTTCGCGAATAGAGTGGGCTTGTGCTTGAGACATTCTTCTTAGGTTTCGGGCTTCTTGCCGTAAGTCTTTTGCTTTTTTTTGCAGAACTCTGAGTTGATTGTACATTTCTGGCGTCAGTTGTAGATCTGAAATGTTGGAATGATAATAACAATTATTTATCGTTTAAGTTTACCTTTAACTAATTTATATTATATGTTTCTATCGACTAACCACTGTACAAGTGTCTTTCATCGAATTGTCCTGGTATAGCGGACGGCTTGGGCGGAGGATGAGGCTTAAATCTGTCTTTTTCTATAATAAATAATAACATGTAATTAGTAAAAAATCAGTTAACTAATAAAAACGCAATGAAGTAATGTGTTTTTAAAATTTTAAAATAAAATAAAATAATAAATATACGTTTCATTAGTTTTCTTATACAAGAATATAGAAAATCTCAAAATAATGATTAAAATGTACAGGTAAACGTAAATAAGATGATGAGTATTCATAACACATCTCATAGTCTCATAGTAATGATGGCATAAAAAATTGTGTATTTATGTTTGTTGTTTTGTTATAAAAAATAAAATTTAACATAATTTAAATGCCAACATCACTTTCACATCCCTCGAGATCACTCAATAAACTAAAAAAAAAAAAAAAAAATAACTAATGAGATTTGGAGACACAAATGGATTTAAGTTTCTTTTAGAGTTGGTTGAGATCAGATCAAATGGGTTTTGCTTAAGTTTTGTTAAAAAATACAAATTGAGAAACAGGATATATAATAATATATATTTTCTGTGATTTAAATCCGTATTTTAGAAAACAAGGTAAAGAAAACTAAAAGCGTTACGTTATTATTAAGTACATTTAATTTAATGTGTTTTTAAGAACATATTACGTATAGTTGTTTACAGTACTTTAATACAAATAACAAAGATTTAAGCAATTGTAGTTTTATTTTTTTCATTCGTAGAAATCTTGAAAGACAAATTTTTTTTTTTTTTTTACATATATGTGTGTATATATAGGTATATATGTTTAATTCTTACAAATCAATAGTAACAAGAAAAATAGTTATATGGTTTTAAAGATATCATTGTTCTTGCATTCTTCCGGCAGATAGGATTAATCTAGTATATTATATTTTATGTTTCTGAAATCCATTAGTAATAAATTAATAAATCTTTTATCTTTGAATTTATTTACTCTTGTTAGTGTTTCTTTACTGCAATCCTATCATTTTTGGTAGACTAGAAAATATTTGAAAATCAGAAAATATTATTTTTAGATTGGTATATAAAATAAAATACCTATACTGTAGTTCTAATATACACACACATAAATATATTATACGCTTAAATATGACCTATAAATGTTATTCAGAACATCTAACTGTGTATACTTAAAGCGATATATTTTACGCTCTTGTCATTTACTAAATTAAATGTGCTTATATATAGTTACTATAGAAGAATAAAAATAAGAAAATTGTGTATTAATGGTATTTATAATCGTTGGCGTGCGCAAAAGATGTAAATGTGTGTTGATAGCATTATAGTAAATTGCTATAGTAAATAATAGGTAATTTTTTATTTTTATTAAAGAGCTGATGTACATTTTAAAGCAAATTTTGATAAAAAATTGGTTACATAGTACTTATAATTTAGAAATATGTATAATTATAACGTAATATTTGTTTGAATATAAATTGTATAACTTGCAATTAAAATATACGATTAAAATGACAGAAACTATAGATTTACGAGTTCGATTGATGTTTGTATAGGGTTCAAGTTTCGTGAATTAAAATAATTGTAGTGACTTTTAATGAAAAAACGATAAAATTGAAAGAATGACCTATCAGCGTAAGTCAACAAAGATGAAAATAAAATTATATGTTTGCGCAGTAGTAAAACAAAATATGATCAATACTGGTAAAAAAATGTAGGTACCTCAAAAAATCTTGAAAAATAAAATATATATTAAGAAGTTTCAAAATTAAAAAAATGCCTTTATTGGAGTGGTCGGAACTAATTATTAGTGTTCTTAGCTAAATTATTCTTGTAGCTAAAAAAATAATAATAGGAAAGCTACTTGCTGATTTGATGTGTTATAAGTAAAAATAATAATAAACATTAAGTCATCTTACAGAAAATGAAATATTGTTGTATAATTATGTTTATAATCTCATAATAAAATTACTATTATAACGCTAATTTTCTTATATATTGTATAGAAATTATATTTCGTTATGAGACTAATGGAATAAAGTAAAGGGTATTTCGGGTAAATTTTCATTTTTAAATTATAGGATATAGGTTACGATTGAAAGTTAGCACCGCACACGTAGGAACTAAACGTAAGTTAATTTGTTAGTCATAAAGAAATGAATTTATAGCGATACACACATAATAAAATAATACGAAGATTGTAGTAGTGGTTAATGAAATTTTTTTTTTTAAAAAAAATATAAAAAGTACAAAAGTACAATACAAAATAATATTATCTATAAGGCTTGGGAAACGGGTTTCTTTGTATTGTTATTTGAAAACAATTTGATACGTGGTTGAAATTTAAATATTATAACGATTAACAATTTTCATGGAAGATTAAACCGTGAGGAATTTAAAAAAAACAATCTTTTTAAATTAACAAACCGTGTTTTAGAATTTAAACTTAAAAAATGCTGCTGAATGAAAAATGTTAAGCTTTTGTATTCAAAAAAAGTATTAACTGAAATAAAACTATACAAAGATATAAAATCATCACATAATTATTGCGCAGTCTGTAGTTTCATTCAGAGTTCAAAAAGAACGTCAATATTTCTTAGGTGACGACTAATGAGACGAGTCTGTATTATGCAAGTTATTTTTTTCGGATCAATGTGTGTGAAGTGTGAATAATTCAAAATATGTATGCGTCGTGTGCGGTAAAGTGCAGTGAATGAAATGTCTGGTTAATCGATTTTCATCCCCCGTGACATGTGAATAAATGAGTATTTTTTTTAATGTTTACCTTGAGATGCTGTTCTAGGTAATGTAGACGATTTAATTGCTGGTTTCGCAGGTTTCGTGTCCGCTATAAGGTAAGCAACGGAATATAACAACAATTACACAAAACAATATTATATTCCACACTGTGTTTTCGTTATTATTTAATGATTAAAATAAAATACTATCAATATTGTTATGATTATAAAATAAATCTTAATTTTAATTAGCTACTATTATTTTACGTTACCGGCAATGTAATTGAATTTATATCAGTATAATTATTTTTGCATTGTGCGATGTTCAGGAATTTTATGGATTTCAAAAAATAAAAAGGGACTAAAAATTAATATTTTAGGTTAATCTACTTGTTAAACATAAAATAGAAATAATTGTTTTGTATAACATTTTAATTAAATTTAATGTAACATGGACAGTGTTAAGAGTAAACAATATGAGGTATAATTACGAATTGTACGAAAAAATAATTACTCTCAAAATTAGAGTTTTTGTTGATACTCCATAGTTGATTATCATTACGCTGTTTTACGCTTGTTTAGTAATTTAATTTTAAACGTCATATATTCATGAATAAATAAAACTTGAGTATTGGGAGATGATTTATATTTATAATTTTCAATGACTATATAATTTTTATAGAGGAACAATAATTGGATTTTCACGGTCAACACAAAAACGTATTTATTTATATAAGGGTTATAGTTTAAAAATGATTAGGTTGAAAAAATGTATTTTGATTTTACATTAAAAATAATATTATATTTTAATAGTAAAGTGATAATAAACGATTAAATTAGAATAATTTAGATCATCAGTTATCATTCTACTAATCATGGCGATACAAGTTCATTTTGAAGTAGAAATAATTGTCTAATCATACCTATAATTGTTCTGATTTTCCGCTAAATATATGATGGTTGGAAATACGATTTGAACGGTTTGGATGAATTTTAATTTTCAAATTAGAATTTAACTAGTAATTACCATATTATTATAGGTATTTTAGCCGTGTCGTTATCTATACCTATAGTTTGATAAAAGAATACAAATTCAATACTAGATATATTTACATCATTTTATTTCTAATATAGCATTAACGTACATGAATTAGCAAATTTTTTTCGTCATAATTCATCATTAATATATGTTTTCTTGCGAATGTGATCAATTATTACATAACAATTATAAACACGTATCGTTATTAGTCATTATAATAACAAAACATTCATATTGCCGGTAACATAATACATAAATGATTAAAATTTATAATACAATATACAGTATTTATACATATTTAGTGTACTCGTACTAAATATTACATTATATTTACTAACGTGTGTGTGTTTTTGAGAATGATATATACACAAGAGTTTTTGGATCTCTAATACGTTTATTAGAAATAAAGTTTATGTATAGAGAGTGAACTACAGATATCTGATATAGTCAAATGTGATTTCAATGTGAAAATATCAGATCTTTCTGATACACTTTGTATAATTTATTAGGGAAGGGAAACGGTCTTGAACGTGTACCGTGTGATCGATGGAAAAATTTAATTATTAACCTACCTGAACTCTGCGGCGAATGTTGTTTCGGTGAGTTCATGTCCGGTGGCTCGTCGCTGAACGATACAGATTTCTCAAACGAAACCGATTTGTCTGAAACGTTAATAGTACATCCAACGTATTAATCGTTAAAAAGTCGATTGTGATAAAGTTAAATAAAATAATAATAATAATAATAATAATCATAATAACGATATTAATACATTTCGTTTTAAAACTGTTAACTATAATAATTATAATATAATATTAATAAGCTCAACAAAATATTATATTGTATAATTTATGACATTTATCAGTACGTCATCGCAAATTTGGCAAAGCAAATATTATATTATCACTTTATGCGCGAACTCTCAGCTCTAACAATATATTATTGTAATAAAATATAGCGTATTCGTTTATTTCTTAGAAGCACTATACTTTTGATGGTCAAGAGACACGACGGAGAGTCAAGTATCTCTTACTGAAATTTAAAAAGAAAAAAACTATATAAGTTTATCAAGTCGTTCAAATAATATATAACGCACAAGCTCTTAAAATAAAGTTTAGCCTAAAAATACTAATTCACTTTGCAGTTACTTGCCAAACAAGAAAACCTCAAAAAGCCGTTAAATATTATCTTACCTTTTGAGTGTTGCACGTCGCATTTTCAACGCGCGAGATTTAAATTGAATTAGTAAATGGATGCGGGATAGGTAAGAGGTGATAAACTATTTACACAAATCTAAGACATTTGATAGGTGTATAAAGCAAATACAGTATTATAAACCGACCGAAAGGCTATCAATAAGCAAAGTAAATATTTCAAATAAAAACGAAAAATAATACGCCAATATAAACAAAAATAGTATACTATATAAATACGAGTATCTACTTTATGCATTAGCATTAAAATATTATACATAAAAATAAATTGTATATAGCTAACCTCGTCCGAGTTTAGGAGGTTTAGTGTCAGACCGCTTGTATGGTTCCTCTACAAAGCATATATATCATACTCGGATAAGAATATATTCTAAATATTATTGGTTATAAGTTATAACAGTATACATAACATAAACATAAATATGGTTGCGGTGTCTGCTGGGTATTGACCACGCATATGAAATTTTTATAATGTACATATACATTTTTAGATGTAAAATATGAGTTATAATAGAGTAAAGAATAAAATAGGGAGCCTTGATCCAATAGTAGAAGCCGTTGGAGGTTCTATGACGTATAGTATCACTACTAGTGTTAGAAAACTGCAATAATGTATAAACGGGTTAAAAAATAGATAACATACCTGCTACAGACGTGGTGCTTTCGCCGGAGACCTTATCGAACTCATCACTAGCTGAATCGTAATAATGAAAAAAAAGATAAGTGTTAGAAAACGGGTATTAAAACACTAAAAACCAAGCAAAATCGTGTCAACACGGTCAAATTAAATTTGTGAATTAGGTAGGTAATATATAATATATTGACTGCAGACAGATAATATAGTACAGTTATAAGGATGTAATATAAAACAGATGATATGAACAGGTTTGAGGTAATAGTAGCAATATAGATAAAATGTGAGTGCGAATGTATTAATAATAAAAGATATTTATACATATTATACAGTGCGATTCACCAAGCAAGATTATCCCTTAGGTTAGGCTATGTTAAATAGATTTAAAATTTAGTCAAAACATTTATTAATAATGATAAGATTTTAATAAATTAATATTAACTACTATAATTTTCAAATCATTATAGCATCCATAAGCCGTAGTAGTTTTTAAAGTTTAGTAACTCAGAAACTAATAATTATGTATAATTTTGATTTATATACATTGACATTTTTTAAAAAAAGCGACTGTTTAACAATTTTTAGTAAAACAAAGTGACTTTCATTCGAATACAGAAGTTTGTATCACCATAGAATATTTCTTAATATATTGCATAAATAAAATGTTAGTATTTAAAAATATTATCTTTAAGCGTGTTTAAAATTTCACAAAAAATAAAATTTAAATACATATATTATTAAGGGAAAAATGGGATGGGTATGATTGGTGAATCGTTTTGTACACATTGAAGTATAAATACGTATACATTGAGTATGTATTATATATAGAAGATTTTTAGAGCAGGTGCTTCAATACCTACATGAAAATAGTTGTCTATAAACAATGAAATATTAAAAAAGAAAATAAAAAAGTAAAAATTTAGTTAATTGCTGAAAACAAAATATTAAAAACTATATAGGGCATTAAATGATAATTTATATACTTTTTATACATTGATTTACTAAGGAGTGAAAATTTGATATTTACCATTTCTGAAGGGTGGTGCCACAACCGGTGCGTGCGTTAAAGCTTTTTGAACTAATCCTGTTAGATTAGCAATTTGTCTCTCCATGTTTTCTACTCGTATCCTGCAAAATTATTAACAGCTGATATATTAAACACAATTTTATGCAGATTTATTTCCAACGTGCGTAATTGTAAATTATAACAGTAAATAATTATAATATGAAAAAAATACAAATTACGATCATAAAAAACTCTAAGTTGTATGAAACATGCAGATTCTGAAAAGTTTAGTAGTGACTGCAGGGGTTCAGGCCACTAGGTTGCAAGATCAATAAGCTTTTTTCAAGTATTTAAAAAAAATCAGAAACTCTTTGAACATTTTTTAAAATATTTATAATTTATAGTTTGTAATTGAAAAAAAATATCCTATAACCTATCGGATAACATGATATAAAAAAAAAAAAAAATACATACAAAGTGTAGCTTTTGGCCTTTGTAGTTGATAGTTATTATAATAATCAATAAGGAAAAAAATATGGTAAAATATTATGTATGATATATTACAATATTACATATAAATGAATTATAGTTCTTAAGTTATATAAACGAGTTTATAAAATACCTGTTTTAAACGTTATAAGTCAGTAACATAAATTGCGGTATATTTTTTCATGAACGCTTTGAGTAGTGCCTGACAAGTTCAATTTTAATTAACTGACCTATTTAGTCTATGAGATAATAAAATCAAGTTATATCCTTATTCAAATTTAACTGTAATACATAACTGCACTTTTAATATTATGTGTTATTTTTAGTACCATCTGATGGGAATTGAAAAGAAAGATTTAAAATACAAATTCAGAAACGCAAACTCCATAGGGATGAAGAACATTATTGGAGAAATATATTCTATCACTTATATGAATGTATACGTAGTTAAGCGTATTATAAACATAATACCTTCAAAATAATTATTTCAGTTTCAGGTGACTTATTAATTTATTCATATATATATATACATTAAATATAGGGAGTAAAAGAAAGAACTGACATATTATGTATAATTGACTATGTACTTACCTAATAAATTTATTATACATATACTTTTATTTATATTGTTAAATTTGTCATTAATTTTAGTTACAACCTGTACATATCTTGAGACTTACATTACACAAAATATTAATGTAAAAATAAAAATTACAATATATTATTGTAGTATTGCATAATATAAAAGAAGTATGTAACTTATGAAATTATATTGTACAACACAATGCGTTTTATTATAATAAAGCGATACAGTAATTTTATTTTGTTTTTGTAAGAAATTATTTCACTCGACTTGAATTAATATCATAACAAATATTGTACACTAATTATTTGGCCAGTTGCGACTAATTGCACCCAAAGGATTAGTTATAGTTTTATGTTACAGAAAAATATCTGTCTACAGTGGTATGGTGTCGAATCTGATATAATATTTATTTTATAAATAAACAGGCAATTCGTATGTAAAATATTTATAAACAGACAAATAAAGCAGTACTGAATAAGATGATATTGCAAAATAATAATAATGAAAAGAATAAAAATATTGATAAGAGTTAAAAAAAAAAAAATAAAATAATGGAAAAAAATACACAAACCAGTATAATATACATAACATACAATGTAACCAAACTACAAAAAATTAAGTGTAAATAAATTAAAACATTTTGATAATAAATAATATATTATATACTATTAAACTGCAAGGGAAAAAACCAAACGAAAACAACAATACATGACTAATTGTGGGAAATACAATTAATATTCTCCCATTATTGACGGGATATAAAAAATATTTTATCAAATGTCTGTGTAAACAACACTGTATAATATAATAATTATTAATTTAAGACTGCGAGTTTAAAGAATTCAAAAATATTAAAAAAAATGCATTTAAAATCTCAAAAAATTAAGTATAAATCCCGAAAATTACACTAAAAAAACCTAATAAATGCATTTAAAAAAATCAATATAAAATGCATTGTAAGTACATTTAGAAATCGTAATTTAAAAATCTTTCTAGTGTAAAATATATTTTTTATTAAAGATAATATTAATTAAGTATAGACGTGCGCCAGGATGAGTAAAATATTTATAAGAGGAAAATTAAAAAAATAATGCATAAAAAGTATGAAAAAAGTTTTCACTGACAAAAGTTACTAAAAATATCGAAAAATATAATGAAAAATGAAAAAACAACCTAATAAATTTAAAATGTCAAAAATAATAATAAACGAATAGTTTCAAAATTGAATTTATTAATATCAAATTTAAATTTTGGGTTAAAGAAGCTACTTTTTACTACAGTAAGTTAAAAATAATACATTTTTCTATAAATTTACAGTTTTTATTTATTATTTACTATAATATAAGTGAAGTAAGTATGGTTGTTATTGTTTTTGTACCTGGTGGCGTCGTAGGGGACGGTCGGCGGATTTCCGTACGTCGGTCTTTTGGGTATCGACGAAGGTTTAGTGGCATACATGCTAAACGGGTCTTCCATGAGTTCATTATCACTGAACGAAGGATAAAAAAACCGATGAAGAAGGTAATGAGAAAAGTGCACACAATAAATACGACAGTGTTAGTATATTGTGTTATAACTTACAATAATAATTAATATGTGTATAATATTATGCGTTTAGTGTTATATAATTAAATAGCTCTGTGCATATTCTACACAGCTGGTATATGCACCGCATACAAACATAATTAACACAAATATGAGTAACAGTATACAGATATAGGTAGCTGTGGTTAATATTGGTTAGGTATAAGCATGTAGATAGTTCGTCAGTTTAAAAGACCAAAAATATTTAGTTCCGTATTTTTGTATAATATTTAAAAAGAAAAACACAATCTAACACTTAATAGCTCCTTCATTACACTATTTTTGGTTAAAAACGTAGTATTTGGTATATACGTGTGGTATACCGATAGCATGGTATTTTATCATTTTTGGTTGCTCAGTACACAATGCTTAATGGTGTAAAAATTAAGAAAAAAGGGTAACACTTTTTTGGGAGGTAGGATTTTCAATTTTGCAGGTCGTGATGGGACATCATCAATTTTTATTCTTATTATATAATATAAAGGGCAATACAAGTTTTACCAAAATGTCTATACCACCTTTTTATTAGTACCTATAGTATATACAATACATGTGTATTCGTTGTTCACGGTTCCATGGTTAGCTATTCATTGAAATTCTGTCACAATTTCTGCCCAAAAATAATCACGATTGATTCGTAGGCTATCGTTTAGAGCGGCGAATAAAAAGATAAAATAATATGCATCTAATAAAATGATCGGATTTTTGTATAAATTATTCTGAATTTATTTTTCCATCCTTAGTAATTTTAAAGACAAATAAACAATTCAAAATTTATCTGCTATTAAGATTTTAACACCAAAACTAGGTGCCCTTAAATTAATGCTTCTTGAAATGGTTATTAGTTACCGTTAGTACTTATTACTTAGTATTCTTGATTATACAGATGCCAAACTGCGCCAACTCACATAAATATGTACTACCTATTATGTTACATGTATACGACCATCATACGGTAAATGAATTTAAAAAAGTATTCAGATCAACAAAAAAATCTAAAAGAAATTATAATATAAACAAATAAACAACTATAATAGTAATTGTTATAGTCGATATTGGGTATTTCCAAATGTTAGAATATAGATATATTAAAAAAAACTGACAATTACATTTTTGTAAGATTAAAATATATGTTATGGGTTTGTCTTATAATATAATTTTGTTAAAAACTAAACTTTTGATGCTTAAAAAAAAAAATTTACTTAACTGATATTTAGGTACAACTTAACTAAAAAATTAATGAGATTAACGGTAAAAAGTAATATTATATCTTGGTATCATGCATACCAAAAAAACCAGTTGTGTATCCAGAATTTCAGTATACAACTAATAAAAAATGTATAGAAAGCCTAAGAATTAAAATTGAGTTGGTTTATAAAATTCTTGTTGATTAAATTAAAAAAAAAATTTCTTTTTTGTAAATTTTTTGATCTTTATTAAAATCTTATTTTTGTAATTATGTAATCAATACTTTGGTAAACGATATTAATTACTTTGTTAACTTATCACTTATGAACACTAATATATTTACAATAAGCCAAAAAAATAGCAACTGTATGTTTTACAAAATTACAACCAATAGAAGATAAAATAAAAACAATTTACTGGTATAATGGTGGTAAAAAGAAACTTATAATTTTTGGGAAATTTATTATTATGCCCAAAATACAATAACGAATAGAAAAAAATTCACTTGAAACTATTCATGTAGATATAGTTTTGGAGAACCCTCCATATTTTTGTTTGATCAAAAACAGTGAATTCAACATATTTGCAGTAAAATCAGTATAATGAACTTCAGTGGTAATACAAAACTCCTAGTGGTTATACAGTGTAGGAACACAAACCCCATACATCAGTTCATATTCTATTTTAGTACACTTTGTACGAAGATTTTGTAATACAACAATTCGGATAATATATTATTATTTATACAAACGGCTGTGAGTGTGATCCACAGCGTGTATGTACCTAACCTAACGAGCGCGTGTATAAGGGATGAGTGCGTGATGATTATGTAAAACGAGGGGTATTCACGGTATAAATTGACTTGGTAAAATGAGACCTTTCGAATCGGACGGACACAAAAATACGCTGTATAATTTTGACTTCAAAAATTATTAAAATATACGATATACCTACACGTTAAGGACAGCGCAGAAAAACGGAATCAAAAATGCCATTTGTGATGTACCGTTGTCTGATTACTGCGTTTTCGACTAGAATGATATATTATTAAGTGTTTCAATTATATACAAATCGTACTATAGATATTACGTCGACTTTTGATTACTATTAAATTTTAATAGTAATAAAAAAGAGTTTGAAATTAATTGTATTATTTTAATAAATTATAAAGTAAGTAAGTATAATAATATTTTATGTTTAGTTTTTAAAAATAGGGCGTTATACATGTCATACATTTATTTATTGACCACAAGATAACAGTTATTGAAGTATTTTGTAAATATAGACATTTTCATGATATATAACATGGTATCAGAGTATAAAATAAAGGAAATTATGGTGAAAACAAAAATAAATGGTGCAAAATGCATTGCTGATTATAATATTGTGTAAATCTATGTTGTGCTCAAATAATATACATGGTCTAAATTCACAGGCGTCCCCAAGGGGAGAGGGCAAAACGGGGCATTTTAATCCCCCCTAGAATTCTAAATTTTTTACCTAATTGTAATAATTTAATATAATAATGTACTATAAATAAAATGTACAAAAAAATCTCATTTAAAAAAAAATTAATTTTGCCTCTCCCCCTAGAAAAATGTCTAGGGAAGCCAATGGTTCTAATGTTATAAATTGATTTAACTTAATTTTAACCTGTCGATTTCGATAGCAGGAATGACAGTCTTAACAATGCATTTCTCAAGATAATATTTTTAATTAAATTATATATCGATTAAAACTAAAGCGATAAACCGTTAAAAACGAATTATTTTTATTCTGTGCATCTAATAATAAAATGGTTTATATTTTTATTTTAATTATAAAAGTTAAATAATAAATTATAAAAATGAGATACTTGAAAAAATAATGACATTATCGTATCGTTTAATTGTTGGATAGCGTGAATTAAGCTTTTATTCAAGCTTTTTATCGTCTCATGGAAATAATAAAATTCTTTTATAAAGATACGTTCATCTAATTGTTGACTCGCAGCAAGTTTTAAAATTTGATGGTAAGTTAGTGCAGAAAAAACCTATTTGATAATAAAAAGCAAACAATATTTATATTTTAATAATGGAACACAGAAAACTAACACGAAATGGATTATATTTTTTTCATGAAAAATGCATAATTTAACCTATCATCTCGAAATAGTAATAATTCATATCGTATTTTACCATTTAACCAAAAAAACAGTTAAAAAAAAAAAAAAAAATAGGATTTATGGTTGGTTGAGAAAACACTTTCGTTATAAATAACACGGCGAGCAATTAATTTTGAGCGAACCTTATATTACGTGATGTAGTCTTCAACGTCAGGATCTTTCTGTGTAAATTATTCGCGTTGGTTTATAAAATAAAATCTTAAAAAAAGAGGACATAAATTAGATACAATTTAATAATATGTAGTTATTTAATCGATTTATTGGTGGGTACAAAAAATCAAATATATATTATAATTCTGAATTAATAATCTGCGTAATATTTTATGCTATCTTATGATATGTGATAGCCGATAGGTTAGGTTTTAACGAGAAAGTTTCGATTAGCATTTAATTTTATCGGATGTTGAAAATTATTCTTGTAATACATAAATATTTATGTTCAAAATGTCAGACGATATCGTTATACCGATAACACGACGTTAACACCGATTGTGGAGGTATGTAATATTATAATATTTTACTGCTAAAGCAACTTAGTGCCGTCTGTCGTTTTAGCGAGTAGTTTCAGTATTGTCGTTGTGGAATGCGGATTAACATATTATTTAAGTATACATTATGATGTTATTATAATACTAAAAAGGTTTAGACTAGTGGCTTATGTTTGTGAGGAGTGGAGAGGATGCAATTTTTGTATACATCAAAAGTACTTATCAATACAATTATTGTGCCATGATCTATAGTATAAGTATACGTATACATACTCGAAAACAAATAATTACAATGTTTTTAAATATCCACATACAGTCGATATAGTTGTACATTTATATGTATATATTATACAACGTTGATTATTATTTATTTGTATTTTCGTTTCGCGATAAAATAATATTCAACCGATCAGTGGTTTATTTTTGAGTTGCAATACAATGCAATGTTAAATTATATTTGAATGGTTATGGTATTTATTGTGATGTAGGTACCTATTATTATTTTAGTAAACTAAGCAAAGAAGATTAGGATTTTTTGTATTAAAAAAAAAAAAAAAAAAAATGTACTATAGACTATATTACAGTAGTGTGAAGTACCTACATAGATGTGTTGTACTACATTTAAAAAAAAAGTCATAGGGAAGGATGTGACACCAAAATCCTCCCTTTCCTATCGTAATTATGTCACTGGTTTAGGCGCACACAAATATTACATTTTGATATCTAATTCATAACGTTTTTTTTAATTATTTTTGATGATTCGCGGGAACAGGAAGTGTCACATGCATAATATCGTAACCGGTGTACGCGCGGGATACATGAGACGTAACTTTTTTAACAGTAAGCAATAAAAATAAGCGCCCGAGTGTGTCCGGTGTACGCAATCAAATCGTGGTTATCGCACGCGACGCAAAACAATAAAACAAACGTTTATACGGTTGAATTCTGAATTATACGGATGACATTAATTTATTATTATTCTAACCGCGTTGCTGCAGACGTTATATTATACGTACATAAGACAGGAGAAGATACAGGAAGTAAGGTTTGGCTTGTTGTTCGAAAGATCCATTAGGACGACATTAATTTGTGATCTAATATACGCAGTTGGAGCGAGTACGCGATATTATATCGTCGTTTATAATCTACAAATGCATATAACGCGTATAAAATATGCGAGAATTGCTATGCGATATATATCCAAACCGGACTATTATACAATATACGTAAAGTGTGTGTAGATAACGGACGTTGGAGTTTTTATAATATAAATACATTATTTTATTGTGCGCATCACCCACCACGATAAAATGAAATAAAAATAAAAAAAAACATATAAATCAATATTACTTTCTCCGCGATTTTACAACCGAAAAATTTGGTCACCGACGAAATAACCGCCGGGTTCATCTAGCGGAATTAAATAAATAACACTTGATTACATAAATATCAAAATATTATAAATTTAAATACTTAAATTTTTCGTTCGGCATTACATTATATTATTTATATTATGCCTGTACGTGTTGTCCGGATATAAATAAATGAATCGGGTGGGAGCACATAGAGACGAATTTACAGTCACGTTATCACTATTATAATATAATATTATGATCTATTTTTATCGGAAGTAGCACACGAATAAACGATCAACAGTGTCGTTTTTATGTAATTAAGTAAACGTAAGATCTAGTTGCTGACGAACCTATGCAGCGGTTCGGAAAGATAAAATGGAAAATATACAAGCTGGACTATTGCCATCCTAATGTTTTTATGTCAGGTTTACCGAGCGTAAGCCTTTCATTGAAAAAAGGTTTTTATGCGATTTCTACCCCTTTACTAATGCCGTTTTAGAAAATGCACGAAAATCCGATTCTTTCGTCATTCTCGTCAGCGAGAAACAAGAATATTTGAAACCAACACGACAGTTTAGCAGTTTAGCTGTATTTAGATGAAGTCGATGGAGAAATCCTAATCGTTATACATGATGCTTATGTTAATTGCCCGCTTATATATGCGTAAATCTAATTGGTATCGATTGCGTCACAGTTTGTTCCGGTCTCCAAAATTTGGAAAAAAAATTGAATCATTTTGTATAAATGTGCGCGTGAGTCATTTCGGTCGTCGTCGTTCTGCACATCTGCGCATACAAGATTCTTTCCGTAAAATTAGGTTTGGTATGAAGATCCGGTTGTGAAGTCGTTTATAATAACATACATCAACTCCAACACCGGTCGGTTATAAGTCCAGTTGTATAATACGGTATTTTTACCACCGGTAATATATGTGTAAATGTGTAATGATATTATTGTGTCAACTGTGTAATATTATGCACGTAAATGAGACGATTGTAGCTGCCGAGACACGTACGTATAATAAAATATATTCGCAGCCGTTTAGTCCGAGCTTCGTAAATGTAAAAATAATATATGCCCACGTGGAACGCCGACGAGTATCACATATTCTGAATATATAAAAAATGGCGGACGTGTGCGGTGGGCTCGATGACGTAATATGTACGAATTACGAAGACGATGTGGTATTAACACCTATTCGATCGATGAAAATATTTTCACAGATAGCATTTCTTTTACACTACTGGACTAGATATTAAATTTTACCGAATTGAGATGGGCACAACCGAATACGAGCGTGCATCAATGGTAGTTCTACAACGTAATTATATTGTTATAGTGTCATTATATTATTAAACACTATTATACAGACGGTGAAATTTACGATGAAAATGTTTAAACCGATATCTATTTCGATTATTTTACTGTGTTTTAGAAAATAATAATTCTAGAGACCAGAAAAAATGTCGACCCATTATCGATAAAAACGCATGTAAACTCCGTCACAAGTAATTTTTTTCACTTGTAAACTCCGTCAGAAAAAAAAAAAAAGGTAAAATTGAGTTCATTTAAATTCCACCAGTGAAGAAAATAAAGTAGTAGTATAAAATTAATATGGTATATAATTTAAAAAAAATTATAACATAAAATAATATCATATCGTTCACATTAAATATTTAAATCATATAAAATAATCGTTATACCTAATAGTTCAAAAATATATAGGTACCTATGTCATGTATGCAAAATAAAATGATGCGATACAATTTGTTAATATTCTAAGTCTTGACATTACTCCATTAGTATTTATTATCGCAATAGATGTCAATGTATTTAATGTGAGAAGGCACGAGGCAATGTGAACATCGAGCAGCTAAACAAAAAAAACTGGCGGAGTTTACAATCGTCCATCGATAATAGTATTTTATAAAGACGACATATTATTACTTTCAAAGATATTTGGTCGTTTTTGAAGAAATTCAAAAAATATTCATATATTACCTACCTATGTGAATTATACCTAATTTACTAAATGTTATTACAGATTACTATGATAGCTACTTATACTATACGCAATGATTATTTAAATACGCATAACGTTTTGAAAATATTTTTAATTTTTACTTTAGTCAAAAATATAATTTAATAAGCAATTACTAAACAATCTCATTAAACAAATTATATCACATATGATACGAAAAATATTGAGCGATAATTAATCACAAATGAATTAATTAGTTTATTAACTTTATTTTACAAAAGTAAAGTTTGTATTTTTTGGAAGTATTATTCAAATTTATCATTATAAAAATAGCAGCTGTAAAAATAAGAGATAGTAACGTTTTCAATTCCTGTCCATCAAAATAGTAAATTTTTAATGCCAATTTCCAATATTATTAAATGGCTATAAACATTTATTAATAAAATGGGAAACATTTAAGGTTTTTCAAGCTTATTTGCCGGGAAAAAAAATTTGACAGTTAAACAAAAAAAAAGTCTTTATGTATTCGTTTATGCTATAGGTAGGTTAATACTGTAGTTGAATCTAATGGAAAGGATATTACTATATTATTATTATTATTTTTAGAATAATGAAAGTGAGTTTACAGTCTAATGTTATGCGTAGGACATTTACAATAGACAAAGAAGGTGAATATTGGTGTAACATACCCTTTTAATTTGTTGAAAGCGGCATGTGTATAAACCTGTAATCGCTGTCGTAACTAACGACAGTTTATTTATTTATTATTATATTTTTTTTTTCTTTTTTTTTTTTACAAATTTACGATCTTTTTTATTGAAATAATAAAATTTAACAGCGCTTTCAAAGATGTAACTCGCAGTTAACTAGGTCTGAATAAGTTTATGTTTTCATGTCTTTCCACTACTTCAGTGTTTAAAGTTTTGTGAATTATTATGATATATTATTATACGGTTCCACGGACGAACACGGTGACTAGTGATTATTGCAACATACATGAAATATTTCGTAAAAAGTGTGAGTAAAACAAGCTATTTAAGTATCTACATAATACTAGTGTACCATATTCATATATCATATTTACAAGTTAATAGATAATTTATTCACAATGTACTTAATAATGTTAATGATCACTGGTACACTGCAATTAGGAACAGTTTTTAAAACTAATGTTGTTTAAAAAAACTATAAATATTGATAATTAGTGCGCGACGAACATTAATAGCATATAATAAATTATAATACCATATCAAATTGCCTGTTCGCTCCAATCTAATATGTATTCGCGCGCTAGCAGTTTCGATAGTTTTTAAAATTATTTGAAAACAATTCTTCATAAAATATTCGAACTTTCTAGTGATTACTGATTACCCAAAACTAAAGGTTTTTAATGTCAAATATTATATTTTATATGGACGGTTTTATAGTACCGTCGATAATGTGTCTATATCTATGCGGAATATCTAAAGTTTGATTAATCCACATGGGAATGCCGTCGTGTATTTTTGATGATCCTATTATACGTGTGTACATTATACATAACACTTGTCGTTAAATTTAGAATTATAAATATTTTTTTAAAAACTCACAAGAATAGATTTCATATTTACCTAGTCTCTTCGTCAATCACGGGAGTGATAGACCCGGTTCTTGGTCCATATCCATAATACGAGTTGTCGTCGAACGAAGAACCCCCTGGAGACATGTATGGGGCAGCTGTGTACCCGGTCCTAGAACTAGCTCTCTCTGGCGATGACATATACCCTGAAACGTTTTAGTTAATTATTATTATTTAATATTTTTAATAAGTAGGTGACTACATCGGTATTGATAAAAAATATCCATACATAGTACTTTATACCAAATAATCGTATCACGGTCATCAAGTATTTATAGGTTATACCTATAAGTTGGTTTGTACATTAACAATGATGAAAATTTAATCCGTTCAAATCGTATCAAATTTACAAGTATAAAAAAATATTACAGTATATATTATAAATGGCATTATTTTTAGACATTAATCATGATAAATGTCAACGTTAATTACTTGAGTTGGTTTTACTGAGCTGTACACAATATAGAAAATACTGCTTTTAAATCATTTAAAACTTAAAAGTTAAATAATTGAAACTGTAATAATTATTTTTCTCAAACCCTTATAATTTATGAAATAAACTTGGAAGTTAAAAATAAATATTTTAAAATTTCAACTAAATATTTCCAGTTTACAATCGATAAAATAAATAAATTACCCAACTATTTTAGATTATAGCTTTTAATTTTCCGATTAACTTTTCATAAAATACTATATGTTTTGAGAGGAAAAAAAATATAAAAATCCAATCGTATAAGAAACATATAGTTAAGTTTAAATTGTTCAAAAATTTTTAAATATTATTTTCTTACTCAAAGGTATAAAATTATACATGTTTAATTTACATTCATATACATTAATATATGAACCTACAGTTAAATATATTATTTTAGAACAGCAGTACAGCATAGATAGGTAAAAAAATTAATAAATAACATTTCTTTAATATTAAATTAAAAGTGCATAATATTATTTATAGTTAATTTCAGAAAATAATGTGTATAGAGCATGGTATACATGAATAGGTATATGTATAGTTTATATTAGATCGTAATATTATGATATTACCGTCATCATTTTTACGCGAGAAAATATAGAATGAAAAAAAATAGCAATGTTAAAAATAAAACGAGATTTATCATTGTTTAATAATATATATATATAGTTTAATTATAAAGTTTAAATTAAAAGTCAAAATACAGTTACAATTTATCAAACTGTACAGAGTATTAAGCGATAAAAATAACTTTGATAACTAACATTAGTCTCGTTATGGTTGTTTATATAAGAAATATCAAAACGATTTAAATAGGCTGATAATTATAATTTACCCTTGAGATATTATACGTTTTTAACTTAAATGTATTTGTTAATAGAGAGTTTATACAAATTGGGGTAAAAAGTTACAGGTAAAAACTGGAAAATCAAATTTAATCGTAAGATAATTTAAATGTTGAACGAAATCTGTGTGAAAACACTTTACACAGACTACAGAGTGATATCCATTGAACGTCATATGTTATAGTCGTATGAAAAAAATATCAAAATGTATAAAGTTCATGTATACAGTGAGAATAATATCGATCGGTATTATGTTAGTTGAAAAATAATACGTTTGCAAAGAAATCATTGGCGCGTACTATGTAAGTACCGTAAGATACTATAATAATATTATTATGCTACGAAGTCATTGCCGCGAATGGGCACGGAGGTGGGTTTCCTCGCTTCCACTATAGAAATAATATTAATAATAATAATTGTGTGTAAATATAATTTAATATTCTGAAATCCAATCAAGTGTTGCAAGGTTACGGATCTGAATTTATTTTACATATTGTAATGAGGAGTAACCGAACGAGACTTCGTGCGCACACAAGGGTAGGTACTTTATAAAATATATACAAAATGTACGTATAGACTACGTGTAATATACGAGTATTAATACAGCCTTCGGGGGCCGTAGCGCCAGAAACTTTCTTCGGATAACATTGTAGTTTTCGTCCTCATTCGTCCGTGTGGTTATGCAGTATCTAAACCATAACTAATTTCGAATAATTAATAAATGCGACGAGGGTTAGAATAATTAAACAACGTGTTTTGAATTGGTCGCCAAATTTTGTCGTTGTCAGTGTGGCCTCGAAACGCCGCGCCGTTTGGTGACCACTCCGGTGCGATACAATGGATTGGCGACTCAGCATAATGTAAAGATAATAATGATATAAATAATATTAGTACCATTATGTCGTATACGCACGTGCGTAAGTGTATCGTTATGTACATACATACGTATCACGTATGTATTAGTGACGCAATTGGAATCATTCAAGGGGGAGAGGGAGGGGCCAAGAAGAATGCCAGAAATCCACTTTGTATAGCGATAATGAATAAAAAAAATTGTTTGTAAATTATACAATTATTTTATGTTCACCTCCATTTTTTTTTCAAAAATTTAATAACGTACGAATTTAAACAGATTTAGATTTTTTCGCACTAAAGGAATGTGAAAATGAAAAATTCTGTTTTTTTAAGTGAGAGTCCTTTTTTTACAGTACGTTATTAAGTAGATAATTAGATACACAAATAGTTTTTGGGTTATTAATATGTTTATACAAAGGATAATAACCATTAAAAATGGTTTGAATTTTCATTTTGAAACGTTAATATTATCAAAAAATTTATCCATTAAAAAAACTATAATAGAAACAGTGGTAGTCTTTTGAATACAATCCACAAGAGACTCATTACATAAGTAATACAAAAATTCTCTATACCTATATGTATATATAAATGCGTATAATTTGGATTAAACTTGTTTAAGAATTTTGACTTTTGATAATATATATTTGGATTTATTTTATTTTATTATATGAGACAATGCGAAAAGAGGGTCCAAACCCGAAATCTACCGCTTTGGTGTACCCAGATATAACAAATATATTATTTTTGTTATACAAGTATATTCAATGAAATTATAGCCTCCGCTCTCATAAATGTAATCGATTATTATACTATTGTTTAAACTATACTTAAAGTATTATTGTTGCTATCGGCGAACAGTGATATATTTTCACATGAACACAATTACATGTTATAAGTGTTTTCGGGGTCGTGTTGGCGCACATATAGAGAAACAAAAGAAAAAGAAACGTTATACACTTCGTGAACGTGGTCGACTGTAAGACTTACGGGACAATTGTCATCGGAAACGCTCACGTATAATATGTTTAAGATAATATTATGCAGTGAAGGTCGAGTTTTCGTATCAAAAATTTGATAATAGATGTCAAATGGCGCCAATATGATGAATTGTGTTCGTGTATGTTAAAAAAAGATTTGAAATTTTAATAATACCTATAATTCCTGTATCTAATCGATCGTAATGAAGACTGATATTTTTTATTTATATCTAAAAATATAATAAATAAATTGATGATTCTTAGCCAATGTGTAATATATACACAAAGAAAATAAAGGCTGAAAGAAGACGTTACGTATTTACACAAAGAGGTTTTATATTGGCAGGCAAAGGTCATGAGGAAATCCAATAAATATATACATACATTTTGGTGGCAGTGACCGGTGGATGCGTCTAAGACTTCGACGTCTACGACCCGGGATCTGCGAAACGACGTCGGTCGTTCCCGGCCTCATAGCCGTTTGAGCGCGAAATATATTAACAAAAACTTATCTTAACGGAACGATCGTAAATCTCACGACCGAACACCATAAATCACGTTTTAAACGACGTCGACTATCTCCGGTACGGGTAAGCGTCAATCTGCAGACTATATAATAATATACACGCTTTGCCAGGATAGCATAGCCAATGATGAGTCGTTTCTCTCGCCTCTTAAATATAACAATATAATATTATTAAAATTATGGTAATATTGTTATTCAAAACCGTTTTCCTCAAAATAATTAAGTATGTAAATTGCCGTTTTCCATTAGTAGAATTATAAATACCATTTTTTTTCTGCGGTCATAAGTTCTTCTAACAGTCTTAACTCAATAAAATAAACGAAAATTATACGAAGACGTCTAATTTTAATTTAATACAAAATTAAGGGAGTAAAAACTACTGATTAAAATTATTTCGTACTTATTATAAACTTATATTAGGTATATTTCTATACATTATATAATAATGTGACATGATTTTTAAATTTT